GTGGTGCAATCTTGGCTCACTGCAACCTTCAGTTCCTGGGTTCAAGCAATTCTCCTGCCTCAGCCTCCTGAGTAGATGGGATTACAGGTGTACACCACCATGCCCAACTAATTTTGTATTTTTAGTAGAGACGAGGTTTCACCATATTGGTCAGGCTGGTCTCGAACTCCTGACCTCAGGTAATCCGCCCACCTCGTCCTCCCAACATGCTGGGATTACAGGTGTGAGCCACTGTGCCTGGCTGGAATTTTTTCTTTATGCTTTTCTGTGTTTTCCAAGTTTACTGCTGTGTGTGTGTGTGTGTGTGTGTGTGTGTGTGTGTGTGTTTACTATGATTCAGTGATTACTGAAGATAGTCAAAAGCAGATTTAGGAACCATTAAGCCCTAGATAATTGTCTAACTGTTTGAAGCATACGTGCTGACAACAGCTCTTGCCCTTCAGGTTGCTCTGGGTGTGTGTTACTCGGGTTTACAGAGTAGCAAGAGTGGACTTTCCTATAGAGCCTCCACAGCTGGTCGGGGTGTGTGTGGGGAGGGTGTGTGTGTGTGTGTGTGGTGTCCTAGGTAATGGGGCTTATCAAAATGGTGATTTGGGGATGAGAGTGCTCAGGAGATGTGCTCAGGGTTGGGAACGCTTCACAACTGCTCCTCACATCTGTTTTTAGAGCTTGAGGAGGGCTCATGCGGCCTGAGGCATTGTCACCGCCTTTTACCCACTTAACTTTAGGTAGTGGTTCTCAAATCCGAGCCCTTTTGGGGGTTCATGAGGTCAAAACTGTCTTCATACTAAGACCAAGATGTGGTTTGCCTTTTCATTTTCATTCTCTCACGGGGTACGGCGAAGTTTCCCAGATGTTATACATTTCAGGACATACTGGCTGCAGAAGCAGATAGGAGAATCCAGAAGTAGACAGGAGAATGTCTGTGAGGCCAGACGTTAAGAAGGGTTGCAGAAATGTAAAACAATGCCAGCCGTCTCCCTAAAAATGTTTTATTATGACCAATATATTTATTTTTCATTAAAATGCTATTTATGTTAACATACAAGTTTATTATCATCTTAAATGAATTAATATTGTTAAAAATTTCTCAGTTTAATTTCCAATACGATAATTAAGAGTATAAAGAAGTTATGAGACCAAAAAGTTTGAAAACCACTGAATTAAGGAGACTGGAAGATAACTTTTTTTTTTTTTTTTAATTTTTGAGACGGAGTCTTGCTTTGTCGCCCAGGCTGGAGTGCAATGGTGCGATCTCGGCTCACTGCAACCTCTGCCTCCCAGGCTCAAGCCATTCTCCTGCCTCAGCCTCCCGAGTAGCTGGGATTACAGGCATATGCCACCACGCCTGGCTAATTTTTGTATTTTTAGTAGCGACAGGGTTTCCCCCCTGTTGGCCAGGCTGATCTCGAACTCCTGACCTCGGGTGATCCGCCCACCTCAGCCTCCCAAAGTGCTGTCTTGTTCATCACTGAATCCCTAACACCAATTACAGGTGTGAGCCACCGTGCCCAGCTGAGAACTATTTTTATGGTGGGTTGATTATGGCTCAGTAAACCAGTTGGTGAATTGCGTGATTCAGAAACACAAAGCCTAAGGTGTGTAGAAGTCTTTGATATTACATTAATTCCCTCTCTCTCTTTCTCTCTTTCTCTTTTTTTAGAGATTATGCACGATGTGATAAAGAAGGTTAAGAAGAAGGGGGAATGGAAGGTGAGTAGAAAGTACAGTTAATGGGCTTAAGGTGAGTTCACATGGAAAAATCAGAAGGGGATGGAGCTGGAGGAAAGTTGGAGCTGGAGGCAGGAATGAGGGCTTTTGCTGTGCAGAGAGTACAGAATGCTCCTGGATTGGAGAAAGGTGATCTGCTCTGCCTCACATTGCATATGGTCTTGGTTAAGAGGTCTGTGTGTCATAAAGCTTATCTTAAAGACCACCTTGTCAGGCAGTTAGCAGTGCCTGACTCTTTAGTTCAAACAAAACATTACCTGGAACCCGTTAGGTAAAGCAGAAGAAGGTATAATTCTGCTGGCTCTGGGAGAGGAAGAAGAGGCCTTCTTGCCCCTTTGTGGCCATAAAGCATCTCCATGGAGTCCATGCACGGTTTGGGCTCAAAGCCCTCATCTGGTCTATCCTCATTGAACTGTAACTACATAAGACAAAAATAGTAAGCTCGTTTATTCATATAACATTGAGAGCAATGCTGGAAACTATAGTGTACTTGAAAGAAGTATTTAAGCCAATCAAACTGAGAGTGGGCCGGGTTCCTGGAGTGGGTGGTACAGGAGTGGCACCTGCTGCCCCCTATGCATGAAGTCAGCATTTTAAGGACTACTTGGTTGTCTGAGGTTGAGAATTATACTGGCCAGAAGAGTGTGCAGTTTTACTTGATTTTTTTGCATGTTGCTGAAGGATTTATACCAACCAAGAAAGCCCTTAAGTTTTCCTGCAGTCAAAAGCCCATGCAGTTTCAAGTGCATTGGGCCTAGGAACAACAGAGCTGATTAGTATGGGAGGATTTTGAAGTCTCACCCGGGGCCTTTGTTTTAACCAGCACATCTGTCCTTACCACCCACAAGGGGAGGCCGTCCGATGGGAACTCTTTTTTTTTTTTTTTGAGACGGAGTCTCACTCTGTCGCCCAGGCTGGACTGCAGTGGCGTGATCTCCACTCACTGCAAGCTCCGCCTCCCGGGTTCACACCATTCTCCTGCCTCAGCCTCCCGTGTAGCTGGGACTATAGGTGACCGCCACTACGCCTGGCTAATTTTTGTATTTTTCGTAGAGATGGGGTTTCACTGTGTTAGCCAGGATGGTCTCGATCTCCTGACCTCGTGATCCGCCCGTCTCGGCCTCCCAAAGTGCTGGAATTACAGGCGTGAGCCACTGTGCCGGGCCCGATGGGAACTCTTTAGCATACCTTTCTCTCTTACCCTTCCCATCAGTGACGGGCTTGTAGACATGTGAATTTTAAACCAATCTTGAGGAAGCTGCCTTGTATAATAAAAACTAATTGGCCCTTGTACTGCAGCAGAAAGCTTTCTCATCCACACTATCTGCCCTGATGTGTCTGCCTCCTATTGCCTCCCTCTCAGTTTATAGCATTACAAAAAGGGAGGAGAAATAGCCTTGTTTTAACTGCCAGCTGCTTCTCCACTGCGGGCTGAATGAAGATAAGAAAAGTTAGCTGAAGAGTTGCAGGTCTGAAGCTTTTGGGCCAGGACTGGAGCATTCTTGTTCTTCCAGCCTAGGCTGAGGTACACTATGTCCCAGCTGACATGTGTGTTAGTGGCACAGTTCTGATGATGCCTTTCATTAAGTCCCCACATGCCAGACCCCATGTGCAGGCGGTAGTGTTCACTCTCCCCTTAAACACAAGTGTATGCCCTGAAAAAGTACTCACTAATATGATTATCTCTGAATGTTGGAGCTGTAGATGATATTTTCCTTTAATTGTTTATTTATTTTTGAGACAGAGTCTTGCTGTTGCCCAGGCTGGAGTGCAATGGCATGATCTCGGCTCCCTGCAACCTCCGCTTCCTGGGTTCAAACGATTCTCCTGCCTCAGCCTCTCGAGTAGCTGGGATTACAGGTGTGAGCCACCACACCTGGCTAATGTTTGTATTTTTGTAGAGATGGGGTTTCACCATCCTGGCCAGGCTGGTCTCGAACTCCTGACCTCAAGTGATCCACCCACCTCGGCCTCCCAAAATGTTGGGATTACAGACATGAGCCACCATGCCCGACTGATTTTTTTTCCTTTTTAAAATGGGTATTTACTTTATTATGGGAAATAAAAACTTTTTTTTTAAGTTTATAAAATTAGGTCAGTGAGAGGAAACTCTAACTCCAACAGTTAGGGTATGGGAGGTACAAGCGAGCATGTATCCCCTTGGGCTTCTGGTCCCTAGGTAATAGGGTTTCTTCTGTACTCTGCACTTCTGGAGCCCCTTTTGGAGTCTAACGAGGTAAGCTGAGCGAGAACCACAGCAGATGCCATGCAGCCAATATGCCGTTCTCTTTCCTTGCAGGTGCTGGTGGTGGATCAGTTAAGCATGAGGATGCTGTCCTCCTGCTGCAAGATGACAGACATCATGACCGAGGGCATAACAAGTGAGCATGCTCTCTGTGCTTGAGCAGTACTGGAGCCTTCTCTCTGTGGCAGGCTTAGCTCTTTCCTGTTCGTTATTATCTCCTTTGATTTTAGATCTTCCAGCAACCTGTGCGCTAAGACCAGAAGCTCCTGAGAGGCCCAAGGCTATCTTGTTCATTACTGAATCCCTAGCACCAAATCCAGGGCTAGATGCTCATTCAATGTCTGTTAAAGGAATGCCAAAAGAAAGGTTAAATCAAGAAAGAAAAGGCAGCCCACCCAAAAGAAAAAAGTTCCGAGCAGGCACTTAACAAAAGACGAAATCCAAATGGCCAATCAATCTATGAAAATTGTCCACTGTCATTGGTGGTCAGGGAAATGCAATTCAAACCAGAGTGTGAGATGCCGATATAGATTCAAAATATTAGAATATTTAATCTCTGAGAGGGCCAAGTGACGGTGGGGAGGTAGAAAAATGGAAACTCCTACGTGATGGAATGTCTGCCCCTTTGAAAAGCACTTGGCAGTGTCTAGTAAAGTTGAAGGTAGGCATGTCCCATGAGCCAGCAAGTCTGTGGTCAGGCGTATGTCCTAGACAACCCCGGGTATGTGTGCCTAGGATACATGTGCAGGAATACATGTGCAGTGTTGCTCATAGGTCCCCCAAGTAGAAAACAACCAAAACATACATCAAGTGTAGAATGGTTAAGTCAGTTGCGGTGCAAATTACACAGCAGAACACTCTACAGGGACGAAAATGGGCGAGCCCTGAGCGCTCACAGTAACATGAATGCATCTGATAAACACAACGGTGAGCAAAGACAGCAAGACATGCAAGACCACTGATAGTGAGCCTTCATTCCACAGAGTTCAGACCGCAGAGCTCAGCTGTGTTGTTTTAAAATGCAGATGTAGGGGGTAAAACCTCAAGAGAAGAGTTCACCATTCAAAGGAGGATAATGATTCTGTTTGCAGGGAAGAGAGGAAATGGTGTTGACAGAGGGGAATGTGAGCTGGAGCCAGGGCACTTATGTGGTGCTGATTGGGTTGGGTTTTGTTTGTTAACTGGGGGTGGTGCTTATTTAGACATTTGCCTTATAGTTATTTGTATGTTTATGTTTTGTTCACGCTTTGGAATGTGTGCTATAACTTTTGGTAAATAACAAGGAGTACGATTGCTGGATCACATGATGAGTGTGTTTAGATTTGTAAGATACTGGCAAACCAGTTTTCAAAGTGGCTGACCATTTTGCATTCCCAGCAATAGTGAATGAGAGTTCCTGTTGCTCCACATCCTTACCAGCATTTGGAGTTGTCAGTGTTCTGGATTTTGAGCATTCTACTAGCTGTGTAGTGGTACGGTATCATTGTTTTAATTTGCATTTCCCTGATGACCTAGGATATGGAGCATCTTTTCACATGCTTATTTGCCATCTGTATATTGTTTTTTGGTGCAGTGTCTGTAAGGTCTTTGGCCCATTTTTTAATTGGGTTATTTGTTTTCTTATTGTTGAATTTTAAAGGATCTTCGTATATTTTGGATAACAGTTCTTTATCAGATGTATCTTTTGGAAATATTTGCCCTCAGTCTGTGACTTGTCTTTTCATTCTCTTGATGGCATCTTTCATAGAGCAGTAATTTTTAATTTTAATGAAGTCCAGCTTATCAATTCTTTTTTTCATGGATTGTCACTTTGGTGTCATATCTAAAAAGTCATTGCAAAATCCAAGGTCGCCTAGCTTTTCTTTTATGTAATCCTCTAGGAGTTTTATAATTTTGCATTTTACATTTAGGTCTGTGATCCATTTTGAGTCAACATTTCTAAAGGGTATAAGACATGTGTCTGTATTCATTTTGGTTGCACATGGATGTGATTCCTTCATTTTTAAAAAACAGATCCAGTGTATCTTTCAGCAGAAGCATAGTCCTGTAAATGGCATACACAGTTTTTTGTTTTGTTTTGTTTTGTTTTTTTGAGACCTAGTCTTGCTGTCTCCCAGGCTGGAGGGCAATGGTGCAGTCTTATCTCACCACAACCTCTGCCTCCTGGGTTCAAGCGATTATCCTGCCTCAGCCTCCCAAGTAGCTGGGATTACAGGCACCTGCCACTGTGCCCAGCTAATTTTTGTATTTTTAGTAGAGACAGGGTTTCAGCATTTTGGCAGGCTTGTCTCAAACTCCTGACCTTAAGTGATCCACCTGCTTTGGCCTCCCAAAGTGGTGGGATTACAGGTGTGAGCCACCGCACCTGGCACATATACACAATTTTTGATGTGACTTTTATGTCATTTAGTGATCTAAGTCAGTGTGTTTTTTGTTTGTTTTTGAGACAGAATCTCACTCTGTTGCCCAGGATGGAGTATAGTGGTGCAATCTTGGCTCACTGCAAACTCCGCCTCTGGGATCAGGCAATTCTCATGCCTCAGCTTCCTGAGTAGCTGGGATTACAAGCAGGCACCAGCACACCCGACTATATATATATATAGGTACCAAGGCGGTGTGGTGGCCATGCTGCCTAGTAGTCCCAGCCCTACTCAGGAAGCCTGAGGCCAGAGAATCGCTTGAACCTGGTTGAGGGGGAGGCTTGCAGTGAGCTGAGATCGTGCCCACTGCACTCAGGGCCCTGGACAACAGAGCCAAGACCGTCTCAAAAAAGAAAAAAAGGAAAAAAGGGGTGCTTCGGCTGGTACTTAGCAAATTTAAAAGTTAGCAACCTAGTGTTGAAGCCGCTCTGAGATTATTGTTGGGTGGCAAACGTATTTAACGTGGGGCCCTAGCTAAATTAAAAAATCGATAAATTCTCGCGTTTAAAGTAGATGTTGGGGATTTTGGTATCTAATTGGAACATTATGTGGTAAAGTGCGTGTGGTCATAAAGTTCCGAAGTCATGTGGGTCATACATGGTTACAATCCTTTTAAAGTGGTGCTTTGTATGCGTACTTAAATCATCTGCACAGGCAAGAATCGGCACCTGCTATAGTTGGCCGCCCTTTGCCTCCGCTTCTTGTTTTCATGGCCAGGAAGACATGTAGATAACACATTTAAGCCTTTACCAGTGTGGATTGGGGTCTCCCAAAAGCTCGCTCTCCTCTTCCAGGTGAAACACTGACGATAACTGTAGGGAGGGACAAGCAAACCAAAGCCTCATGGTTTGTTTTTAATCCAAATAGGAATGTGGTAATCTTGCACTATTGACAGGAAGGCAGATCTGATGTATAGAGGATGTGGGTTGGAAATTGCCTCATGCTTGATATGCAGAAGGAGAGGCAATGAAACATCCAAGCTGTTGACTAAATTAAACCCAACTCATGGAAATCTAAGGAATGGGATTAATTCTAGGGACAGAAAGACAAAGCGGGAAGAGAGAAGGTCAGAGGACCATTCGTGACGCAGGAGATTAGATAGCTATTTTTCCATTCTCTTCTCAGAACAGATCCAATGAATTTACTTAAACTGAAATGGGAAGTGTGAGAACGGCTATCTTTAGTGTGATAAGGATTTTCCAGATTTTCCTTTGTTGTTGTTTTTGTTTTTTGAGATGCGCGCTCCTCCCTACTCTGTCACTCAGGCTGGACGTGCAGTGATCTTGGGCTCACTGCAACTCCACGTCCCTATGTTCAGCAATTCTCCAATCCCGCCTCCTGTGGGGCCACCACGCATCCGTGTGATTGGCAGAGGGCACATTCCAACATGCCTGGCTACATTTTTGTGAGGTTTTTTACGCTAGAGATGAG